CCAGGGGTCTCCCTGTATGATGGGTGCTTCCCAGGCACCCTAGCCTTATGGGCTATGCGTGGCTCCAACCACCCTTATACCACGCCCCAAGCCTCGCAGTTGGAATCGACGTTGGTCTGTCTCTATCTCTCTCTTTCTGCATACACTGCCGCCCCCTCCTGGGGCTCTCCTCGCCCACTCCGGGCCTTCTCTGCGCTGTCGCCCTCTCTCGGGGCCTTCTCAATAGTGCCCCCTCTCTGGGGCTCATCATGCCCGCACTGGGCTTCTCGATAACACCCCCTCTCTGGGGCTTGTCGTGCCCACACTTGGGCTTCTCAAATATTGCCCCCTTCCTGGGGCTCTCCGCGCCCACACCTGGGCTTCTCAAATATTGCCCCCTTCCTGGGGCTCTCCGCGCCCACACCTGGGCTTCTCAAATATTGCCCCCTTCCTGGGGCTCTCCGCGCCCACACCTGGGCTTCTCAAATATTGCCCCCTTCCTGGGGCTCTCCGCGCCCACACCTGGGCTTCTCAAATATTGCCCCCTTCCTGGGGCTCTCCGCGCCCACACCTGGGCTTCTCAAATATTGCCCCCTTCCTGGGGCTCTCCGCGCCCACACCTGGGCTTCTCAAATATTGCCCCCTTCCTGGGGCTCTCCGCGCCCACACCTGGGCTTCTCAAATATTGCCCCCTTCCTGGGGCTCTCCGCGCCCACACCTGGGCTTCTCAAATATTGCCCCCTTCCTGGGGCTCTCCGCGCCCACACCTGGGCTTCTCAAATATTGCCCCCTTCCTGGGGCTCTCCGCGCCCACACCTGGGCTTCTCAAATATTGCCCCCTTCCTGGGGCTCTCCGCGCCCACACCTGGGCTTCTCAAATATTGCCCCCTTCCTGGGGCTCTCCGCGCCCACACCTGGGCTTCTCAAATATTGCCCCCTTCCTGGGGCTCTCCGCGCCCACACCTGGGCTTCTCAAATATTGCCCCCTTCCTGGGGCTCTCCGCGCCCACACCTGGGCTTCTCAAATATTGCCCCCTTCCTGGGGCTCTCCGCGCCCACACCTGGGCTTCTCAAATATTGCCCCCTTCCTGGGGCTCTAGGAGGCAGAGGCTGGCTCTTATAGGCAGCTGACCGCTGGCAGGTGTGGGTCATTTGCTCCCTCCAGTTCCCCTGGCATCCCACAGCTGTGCTCCTTAGCCACTGCTAAGGCTTCTCCTCTAGCAGTTTCTGCCCCCTAGGAGCACGGCACCTCAGTGCTCTGCGACAACTGCCTATCTACCCCATTCCCAAATAAGCTCACCCTTTACTATTTTTCTATTACTATATTATTATTACTAAATTTCAAACCCTAAAATTTTATGTAATGGCATGATCACCAACAAAATAGTGAATAAAGGGGACAGACTGCATTTCCAATAACTGGAAGGATTTTTATTTCAAAGACTATTTTCTTAAGACTTATTTTTTAATAAAATATCATATTCAGAATTAAAATCAACTTGAATTAGTCTCAAACTTTTTGTCCAATTAGTTAAGGAATCTAAGCAGTTAAGGATAGGAAAAAAAAACAAAACAACTTCTTAGTTTAGTCCAGTTCCTTAAAATGAACTATTCCCTAAAGCTTGTGTCCCAGGGATGCCGGGGTTAGAAAGGAACCCCGGGGCAAAACCAGGGGGGAAGTAACCACTTACTTACCCCATGCAGAAGCCAGAGGGAGCAGGGACACGCGCGCGGGAAAACCGCCGGCGCGATTTGTAAGCCGCGCTCATATCCAGCTGGGGCCGGGCGATGTCAGCAGGAGACGCCACTTGGCAGGAATAAAGGTGGCCCCGGAAGCAGAGCAGGGCCGGAAGTGGGGAAAGTCTGCAGGGAACCCCGAGAGCAGGACCCACGCCTGCGGGGCCCGTGTACCTGGTCCGACGGGGAAAGTCGAGGCAATGGCAGCGGCGTCGGCAGCGGTGGCGAGGACGGTAGCGGCAGCGAGAATGGCAGCGGCAGCAGCGGCGGTGAGAGCCG